GTCAGTGTAGGAGTTGTAAGTCGTGTATAGGAGAGCTAGCTAAAGATCTGTGTTCTGTTCCTGTAAATAGTCCACTGTATATAATAAACACGGAACTACAAGTTCCTGGTTCCTGCTTCGTCTATCCTGTCTGCACCCAAGTTACCAATTGCTTCCGTGGATTCTGCGTGTACTCTGCTAGGTCTGGCTAAGGTCCTGCAACTAGTCGGAAAGTTGCGAAACACCAAATAGGTTTTGCCAATTGTAACTTCTTATGCTCCTATGGAATTATATCTTCCTCCCGTGTCAGTGGCACCGGCTCACTGGCTTCGAAAAAGAGAGGAAGGCAGCTGAGTGAAGAGGAAAGGTTTGGTGTGCAGAGAGAGCTATCAGAGCAGGCAGATGGTGCATAAGCAGGATTGGGCCTTCTGACAGGTAGTGGAGCCCATCCCTTGGCAGAGGAGAAGCGATTAGGTCTTGAGGAGGGAGAAAATGAGCATGGTCTGAACAAATCTTATGTGCTCTGTAGAGAATATCTCATGCAGTCTTGGTATCTCATTAGAAAAAACACCTGCTTACAAGTTGGGGTACTGGGTGTAAAATACTGAATTTTGTGACTTTCTTATATGGTCAGTCTTTAATGGGATATTTGTTTGTCTACTTTGAAAGAACAGAGAAAAGTGTGCAGCACAGCCTCTCCCCTCTCTTACACACACACACACACACACACACACACACACTTCTTGCGAAAATTGCCTTTTTATAGTTAATCGTTTAAGTACACCAAATATCTTCTAAGTAATTTACAGCCTGTCTTTTCAACTTTACTCAACCATCAGCTCTCTCAAAAACTCCCCTTTTCCAGATTCCACCTGGGTATGATTTACTCTTTATTAGTCTAGTAAAATGTGACGGGATCATCAAGTCTTTCTGAAGAGTTATTTCCAACAGCATTTTTTAACACTTCTCCGCAAATAGGGCAAAATAAACTATATTGACAGCGTGACTTGCCTTGAATCTATTCTCAAAGACTTTGCAATACCTGATTGCTCAATAGAGCATCTTTTTGAAGGTAGAGAAATAGAGCCAAGGCCCATCAGTTGCCATGTCAAAGAATGATTTTTGTGTCCTAAGAAAGAATTAAGTTGCGCCATGGGGAGCCCAAATTGAAGTTGTGTTGATTCATTGAGACAGCATGCAGTCAGGGTCTGGTTCATGCAGTTTCCTGCTCAGCACATACCCTCTTAGCATTCCCCAGAGATGTTCATGTGTGATAAAAAATAAGGCATGATTCAGACATTCAGAGATTTGATGAGGGCTAACATCTATGGTTATCTGCCCATCCCCCAAGCTACTGGATCACAGAAAATTACTCTTGGCCAATACACTTTGGTGTTTGGATTATATGATATGTTTGTCCATGACAGCCTCTCCCTACCCTATGTTGAGTGTTGTGTATGTGCCACAGAAGTTCAGTCAAGCGCTTAAGTTCACCACAGGAAACAACTGTGTAGCAGAGATAGCTTTTACTTAGCATACACACACACTATAGATGCACACTACAGTTGCTGCAAGAAGTCTTCACTCTCTGAGCCCAGAGAGGGTTCCAGCTTATAAAATTCTTGCTGGTACAAAGTCTACACAGCAAACGCAAAACCCAGTTGCTAACAAAGTCCTGCAACTGCTAGAATTCTCTCAATCCAGAAGTCTTACAGGTTGTCCAACTTTTCTCAGATAAGCTCTTCACAAAGTCTTCCACACTTTCACAAGATTGTTCCAACAATCTCTGCATCTCCAAAAGATTCTCCTGTACTTCCCAACAATGGATGCTGTAACTTCAGCCTTGTCTACCCAATGCTACATGATAGTTTGCCCAGCAGCTCAGATAAGACAGTCACAAGACACCTGTAGTTATACTTTTCTTAACACCCCATTCCTTTCAGATGTTTTAGACTACAACTCCCACCATCCCAGCCAGCAAGCTGATGTAGACTGGTTCTCCCCAATTCAGGAATTTGAACACTAATTTATTAGGTATGCTAACTCTGATAGTAAGTTTAAGTTGACCTGAAAAACCAATTGTACTATGCAACTTGAAAGCTAAATAGCCAAAAAGTGATCAAAAACCAAGTAGAAGATAGTAATCCTGCATGTTAATCCAACATTTTTATTGCCATGGGATATTAGCATTACGCTCTTAATACAAAACAGTAAATCAACATAATGTCTTGTAAAGAGACCCATTAGCATGTTAGCTGGGTATTACTGTTCTGATAAACTTTGAAGATATATTTGTTATTAAAATGTGCTAAAAATAATGACTATAACGCTGATAACTTTTGATTAATGGGATATCTTGATTATCCTGAAACCCAAAGTATAATTACAAGTTGTAATTCCCACCGTCTATTCAAATGTTGTGGAAATTAAATGTCTTATTATTTCCGACCTTTATTACAATGATTTGTTATTGTTGTCTTATATGAACTAGCCAGAGTGGGGGAACCTGTGGCTCTACAGATTTTCCCAACAACCACAGCCAAAATGGCCAATGGTCAATGGACTTTCCATACCTCTAAGGATGGATGGACCAGTCTATTTGTGCTCTGTGTCACTTTTGCATGTGTTCATTCGTAATTCTGTTCCATTCCCTTTCCACATTCATTTGCAGTTTATAAAAAATATGTATGAAGGTTTTCAAAGTATTTCTTATAAGAATTAAAATAGGCATTTCTAAATGTATTTTATCGAAGCAAGCATTTCTAAACATATTTTATCTCAAAGTATGCATTTTAAAACATATTCCTGCTTTTTGTTGAGCTGAGAACTACAATGCAACATTTGCTGACGTGCGATATCTGATGGGCAGCACTGTTGTGATCTGTGCACCATTGTGAAATGTGCAGATCAAGTCAGTTCTTATTGAAGTTTGCAAAGGTCTGTTTCCTCCAGCCTTCCTATATGCTCCTGATAGCAATTCACTTCATGGGAGCCTGTCTTAACTCTTGAACACTGTGGTTTGCAAACCAACCACTTGGATTCAGACCTACGCAGACTGATTGTGACCATCTGAACTCTGATTTTCACTAAAGTAAAGCTGGGCTGAGATTTAAACTAAACAGATACGTGGTTTAGGAGCGAGGGGCACCCTGTAAATAAAAGATGTCCTCTAAAAACTCTGCTGGGTTCACCGATTGCCTTATATACGGTATATAAAACTAATGCCTTGCTATATGTGAATATGTAGAATCTTACTTCCAATTTCAGACCACAGAGTCACCGTCATAATTCCATAGCAAAGTTATTTAATAGTAAGGGCATCAGGTAACTACTAAAGCTGCATTGCTTCTGTGGAGATGAAATATAAAGTATAGATGGCTGATAAGTGATAAGATTGTTTCTTGAACTAGCCGAGGATGATAAATGTGGCAACAGAAATCTTTCATGATCAGTTCCAGCGTTTTCAGGAAATTTTCAGGAAATTGTGCCTGCCACACACTAATTTATTGCCTTTAATATAGTTTCAGAATGCAAGGTTCTCTCCTTTTACTTTAAATCCAGTCTTGCAAGCTAGTCTAAACGAGATGTTTGGAACACTTAGCCTGTCCAAATTTGAAATACAAGCTTAAACTGCCATTGCCAAAGGAAGAAGACAAGGTGATTGGAAGCCCGGGGCCAATTATTTGGGTTCCCTTGACTCTTGCCCCTTGTGACCAATGAAACCTGCCTGGTCCAGGTTATGTGTGCTCTTCAGAACACCATATCAGGGCACCATATTGGTGAACCCTCCTCTTTGTTGTGGGGGAGGAAGGGAAAGGAGAATGTTAGCCGCTTTGAGACTTCTGAAGGGGAGTGAAAGGCGGGATATCAAATCCAAACTCTTCTTCTTCTTCTTCTTCTTCTGGATGATGGGCTTCTTCCTGAAGTGGGGAAGGAAATGTTATTTCATACATGGACCAGAGGACCAGAGCATCCCCTGGACCAGAGCATGCCAGGCACTCCTGTCTTCCACTGCCTCCCGCAGTTTGGTCAAACTCATGCTGGTAGCTTCGAGAACACTATCCAACCATCTCGTCCTCTGTCATCCCCTTCTCCTTGTGCCCCCCATCTTTCCCAACATCAGGGTTTTTTCCAGGGAGTCTTCTCTTCTCATGAGGTGGCCAAAGTATTGGAGCCTCAGTTTCAGGATCTGTCCTTCCAGTGAGCACTCAGGGCTGATTTCCTTCAGAATGGATAGGTTTGATCTTCTTGCAGTCCATGGGACTCTCAAGAGTCTCCTCCAGCACCATAATTCAAAAATGAATAAGAGCTGTTTGACAGTGGAGTGGTCTGCCTCGGGAGGTTGTGGACGCTCTTTCCTTGGAGGTTTCTAAGCAGAGGCTGTCATGGATGCTTTAGCTGAGATTTCTGTATTGCAGGGGGTTGGACGAGATGATCCGGGGGTCTCTTACAACTCTACAATGCTATGACTCTAAGACCTGTTTCTAGTGCTAATTGAATGTGGTTATCTACCCCTTTTATGTATGTCCTCCAGATAGGAACTACATCTAACTTTGTCATCCTCGTATGTTTTGTGTAGTTGTAGCCCAGGAGAGGATCTTCTCTGTATAGAATTTCCTCCTCACAGAGACTCATCCGGCATTGCAGGGGGTTGGACCAGATGGTCCCTTCCAAATCTATGATTCTGTTGCTATTGTTGTTGATAGACTTCCTTCTGCAGAATAGCCCCATGCGCTCCTGGTTGCCAGATATTCTATGGCTCTGAATAACGTTCCATCTTGAATGGTGTGTGGAGGCCATTTCCCACTTCCCGTTATAAACACAACTAATGTGGCTGCTTCACTTCCGAGCAGTTTCTTCATTTTAGGCGTTTGCATTCCAAGATGCAAAAGTGTTGCTTCCTAATGATACTCTCAAAGAGCTCTTAAAGTGACCGATCAGAAGCCACTGCCGTTCCCTGTTGGCCCTTGCTGCAGTTGGTCGGCTCATCTTTTTTAAAGTTCATTATATTTCCCTTTTAGGTTTGGGATGCTGTGGATCGGGGCCGTTGCTTGAAAACATACCTTTGCCACACCTGTGCCGTTCGAGCTGCCCAGTGGACCCCCTGTGGGAGAGGTGTTCTCAGCGGAGGGTTTGATTCTATGCTTCATTTAACCGATATTGAAACAGGTAAATGTTAATATAGGTATGTGTTTTGGCTTGCATGTGAAATACTATTTTCATACTACATAGAACATTCTGGGGCTTAAAATGTTATTTTAAAAGGTATTCAGGTCCTTAGAAAGTTTAGTTAATTTTAGTCAGTTTTAGTATTTTAACTTTTGTATGTTTTAAAGTAGAGTCGCAAACCTTTCTTGATTTTACTGTTTTACCTTCTATAAACTGCTTTCAGGTTTTTAAAAATCAAGTGGTGAATAAATTTTATGAATGAATAAGTAAAACACGGGAAAAAGGGCCAAACTACACATGACAGTAGTAAATGCATATTTGCATCTAAGGTGCAGCTTTTAAAAAATGCAAATTGAATCAGCTTTTTATTGGCTGGGTGGGGGGCAAGGTGAAATGTTAATTAATTGGATCAGAACAGTTATGGAAGGGAGATTTCACCATTTTCTTCAGTGCTTGGTCCCAAAGAAATTCCCTCCTTGGGAGGTAATCTCCTTTAAGCACTAGTGAGTGTCCTCTGCCTTCAGAGCAAATTCCAGCTTCAGAAGACAAATTTTCTTTGAGACATTAGCAAGAGAGGAAAGAGTTAAATTCCCCTCTCCACATGCTTTGATTCTTTTAATTATCAGGCCCCCACCCCAGCTGCTGCAATCTGCATTTTTTCCTAACACCCCCCCCCCCCCATATTGGATGCTAAGACACATTTACTGCTGTGTCTAGTTTGGCCCTAAGTTGTACTGAAATCAATAGGTCTTGCTTCCAAACAAGACTGTTAAGGACGGCCATTTAAGCGTTTAATTACTTCATCAATCTGTTTTTCTGGGAGGCCTTTTCTAACTTTCCGTTGTTTGTTTGTTTGTTTAGTTACTTCCAGTGGTTTCTAAACTAATTCCTCCCATGCAAGCTTGACTGTTACATTAATGCTGGAGTTGCTCTGTCCCAACTCCTAGCAGTTCGAAAGCACGCATGTGCGCAAGTAGATAAATAGGTACTGCTGTGGCGGAAAGGTTTCCGTGTGCTCAGGTTTCCGTCACGGTGTTCCCATTGCACCATAAGTGGTTTAGTCCTGCTGGCCACATGACCTGGAAAGCTGTCTGTGGACAAACGCCGGCTCCCTTGGCCTGAAAGTGAGATGAGCGCCGCACCCCATAGTTGCCTTTGACTGGACTTAACCGTCCAGGGGTCCTGTACCAGGGGTCCTTTTAATGCTGGAGTGCAGGGGCATGGTGGCAATCCAAACTAAAGGATGGCTAGTAAGCCATGTTAATATTATGTGGCCCCCCCCATTGTACCTTTATATTACAGGGCTGTGTGTAGATGTTTGAATTTTAAAAAGGGTAGGAATTTCTCTTGATTTCTTTTAGAAATCAGCCATGAAACGAGCCAAAATGAAGATTGCCTGAACATAATTTTTCAGCGTATGCAGTGATAATCAATTCTTTCAGTTTTGTTATGGCATGTGTTTTTAATACTTGCGGCTCCAAGGGCATTCCATACTCCGAATATAAAATCCATTAAATCTTACGTTGGAGTATTCACATTTCTGGGTTAATCAAGCTTTCATATTACCACTTACGAGTTTTATGGATCCGCTTTGCTTGTAGTTCGGTGGGAGAGCGAGTAATGTACCGAAACTTTCTTTTCAGACAAGCCCATTTCTGCATTGTGTCTTTGGGTCATTTTCCTTCTCGCAACCGCATTTCTCTGGTATTTTCTTTCTCGCCGTCATTATAGCGCAACGCCAATTGTAACTGAAGCTAATGGACTGAGTTCCCCGTGCTCGGAGCAGTGTACCCAGTGGCTTCTGTTGTTAGTGGATGCTGGAGACAAAAGTAAAAAATTGGCAGCTGCTTTTCTAAGCTGTATGGCCTTCAACTGTGCGTAAAGCATCAAGTGTCATACATATTTGTTTTTGTACATGCCCTTCAGGAAGCACAATGCAATTTATTACGTAAGATATGAAGTCATTTTAAGGCTGTTGTTATATGAATTAACAAGCAAATTGGCACATGTGGAGAATTAGTTCCTTGGGTGGGCTCCAGGCAGATTTTTGAGCCATCATCATCATCATCATCATCATCATTATTTTCACCCCACCCATCTGACTGGGTTGCCCCAGACACTCTGAGTGGTTTCCTGCATACAGTGGTACCTCGGGTTACATACGCTTCAGGTTACATACACTTCAGGTTACAGACTCCGCTAACCCAGAAATAGTGCTTCAGGTTAAGAACTTTGCTTCAGGATAAGAACAGAAATCGTGCTCCGGCGGCGCGGCGGCAGCAGGAGGCCTCATTAGCTAAAGTGGTGCTTCAGGTTAAGAACAGTTTCAGGTTAAGTACGGACCTCCGGAACGAATTAAGTACTTAACCCGAGGTACCACTGTATACAAAAACATAATAAAACATTAAACATTAAAAGCTTCCTGATACAGGACTGATATTTCCTGATAATAATAAAATTTTATTTATATCCCACACTCCCCAGCCGAAGCCGGGCTCAGATACAGGACAGATGAGATGTGTGCATGGCTATTCCTATCTAAAGGTTGTAAAGATAGGCCAAGAATAATAATAGAATCATTGAATTGTAGAGCTGGAAGGGACCCTGAGGATTATCTAGTCCAACCCCCTGCAATGCAGGAATATGCAGCTGTCCCATACGGGGATCGAACCTGCAACCTTGGTGCTATCAGCACCATGCTCTAATCAACTGAGCTATCCCGCCTGACTAAAGAGAATAAAGACTTATTTGCTGCTGCCCTAAAGGGTGGGATTAGATCTAATGGGTTTAAGTTACGGGAGGGCATATTTCAGTTGAACATTAGGAGACACTTGTTAATGGTAAAAGCAGTTTGTCAATGGAAGCAATAACTTGGGGTGGTAGTCTTGAAGCAGAGGCTGGGCAGCCATCTCATTGGGCATAGAAGATGAAGTTGGACAAGCTTGCCTACAAGGCTCTATCAAACTATTATCATCCTGCCTGGAAAGGGAGAACTGTAGCACAGTGGTAGATCACATGTGCTGCATGCAAAATGCCCCGGGTTCAACCCCAGGCAACTCCAGATAAGGCAGGCCTCCTCTCTGCTATACTTTTTGTCAGTAGGTAAGCTATGGTATTCCCAGTAGTGATGTATGGAAGTGAGAGCTGGACCATAAAGAAGGCTGATCGCCGAAGAATTGATGCTTTTGAATTATGGTGCTGGAGGAGACTCTTGAGAGTCCCATGGACTGCAAGAAGATCAAACCTATCCATTCTTAAAGAAATCAGCCCTGAGTGCTCACTGGAAGGACAGATCGTGAAGCTGAGGCTCTAGTACTTTGGCCACCTCATGAGAAGAGAAGACTCCCTGGAAAAGACCCTGATGTTGGGAAAGATGGAGGGCACAAGGAGAAGGGGACGACAGAGGACAAGATGGTTGGACAGTGTTCTCGAAGCTACCAGCATGAGTTTGACTAAACTGCGGGAGGCAGTGGAAGACAGGAGTGCCTGGCGTGCTCTGGTCCATGGGGTCACCAAGAGTCGGACACGACTAAACGACTAAACGACAACAACAGATTACATGCACTGCATGCAAAATGCCCCAGGTTCAATCCCAGGCAACTCCAGATAAAACTGGGAATGACTTCTGCCTGAAACCTTGGAAGAGTTGTTGCCAGTCAGTGTTGACAATACTGAGTTAGGTAGACCAACTGACTGATTTGATCTAGGGAAGCTTTCTAAATCACTGGGTAAGTAAGACTGCGCCGAGGTTCTGTAAGATAGGCAGGTGAGAATAAGTGGTGCTCGGAATAAACCCCGCCTGAAGAAGCAGCTTTCAACGTCATATTAAAATGTTTATATTTAAACAGGCATTTCAATTCATTGGCTTTTGACTGAATTTTACAAGATGCTTCCGTTTTATATAGCTTGGGAATTTTTCAGTGTATTATCATGCATCTGTTATGTGTGTGTGTGTAAGAGAGAAAGACACACACAGAGAGAAGCAGGTTCAAACAACGCAGCCAGTGGAAGCAAGCCCATAGGGAAATTCGTCTTGCGGAACGACTCAAAAAACGGAAAACCCTTTCGTCTAGCGAGTTTTTCGTCTTGCGAGGCATTTGTCTTGCGGGGCACCACTGTATATATGCACACACACACACACATATACACATATCACTTGCTTGCTTGCCAGGCAGGGAACCAATAGGCAAGCAGGCAATGGCATCTCCTCCTCCTTCCCACCATCAAGCAGGTTGCAAGGGTGAAAAGGAGGAAGAGGAAGAGAAGGAAATGGTGGAAGAGGAAATGGTTCAGAGGGTTCTTGTCAGTGCTCCCATCACACCACGAGGCTTGGCCCTCAGCAGATGCCCAACCACGCCAAGCCCTTGATGCCAGCCCTGTAAGGTAGGACCACTCTGAACACCTCCCTTTTTCTTTTCTTGTTTATTGTTACTCTGCATTTCTCACCGATACGTCAGTAGCGCTTTCAGTAAAAGAAAAAAACGGAACAGAAACAACCCAGCTTGTTACTGGAATCCAAATTGGGTGTTTTCTCACTTGAAAAACATGAAGCCAGCTGTACAGATTAGAGCAGCCTTATTTCACTGAACCGTTCATTCACCTCTCTCCACTGCTATTCACCAGCGCGGAGCTTATTTCAGCTTTTGATTAACTTCGCTTAGATGTCTTCCATCCACGGCTTCATGAGCAAACTTTTCTCTCTTAATTACTTTTTCCACGCAGGCTTGGAGGAATTGTCCTTGCTCAGGCCTCCGCAGCACTTCAGGCCCGTGGACTGATGGAGTCCTTCTCCCTCTTCTGCCACTTGTGTGGAGAAGGTTGAAGTGCCTCCTTTGCTTGGAACCCTTCCGTGCTTTCTGGGGACAAGTAAGGTCCTACCTTACAGGGCTGGCATCAAGGGCTTGGCGTGGTTGGGCATCTGCTGAGGGCCAAGCCTCGTGGTGTGATGGGAGCACTGACAAGAACCCTCTGAACCATTTCCTCTTCCACCATTTCCTTCT